TATCCGGTGAGGCTGTGTTCGCAGCTCTGCCCGCCCTCATTTTGGATTTTTGCCACTCGCTTGGTCACGGGGGAAAAGGTGTGTTTCTGGGAGCGCCACAGTCTGCACCGTGACCTGTTCTTGTGGAAATCGGTAAATATAGTTTGAAACATGGCCTTACAAACTGCTATCAAGTCCCTTACCGTTGGAGGAGGTGTTGGTAGGGCGGTGTTTCTTGTTTTGCTCGAACCCTGGCACCTATAAAAGGGCTGACCAGGATCTCCTACGGCCCCCAATTCAGATTGTTGGGGCAGGTTGTAGCGTCCTTGCCAAGGCCGGGGAGCAACGTTGTGTTGGTGTCTTTGTTTGGGTCCTTTAACCGGATTTCTTACCTCTCGGTTTTGCTCATGCCGGGTGTCTTTCAAACAAAAGCGGGGGGAGGATTGTCAAATTAGGATCTTTTTTTGGCGTCCCCTTTAACGGCCTGGTCGCCATCGAGCGCCTCCCGTTTAGGCTATATGGCCCATCCTCCCCACTAATGCAGCATTTGTGGGGAGGTACCTGGAAGATCAATTTCCTGGAGGGACCCACTGTTGCCATGGCAACGGAGAAAGGCTGGGTATGCAGGTGATCTTTTGGACTCTTGGAGGTATGCCAATTGGTCGAGACTCGGCCAGGGCCTGTCGAACCCTTCATCCTTGCTGGTTGGCCTGGCGGAACGGGCCGCAGAGGTGCGGAAAGCGAAGTGCACCTCGTGGATTTTCTTTTGTGGCGATCGGCTCGGCTCGGCCAAGATATGGGCTTGTGTTTTTTTTTGAGGGTGTTCTTCTTGAGGTTGGTTTAAATGAAAACTAAAAGGACGACCACAATTTTTCGGGGTCCCCCTACTTTGAGACATGCCCTAATTGTCAATTCTCCATGTCTTTTCGTGGTTCTCACGTCTTTGGGAACAAGTAATTTTCGGGGGTGGCCTTTCTGAGATTGGTTTGAATGGAAGCCAAGAGGAAAGCCAGCATTTTAGGCGTGCCTCTTTTTTGGCATATTCAGAATGTGAGGTTCGGTCGGCAGATCCTGGTCCATGTGGGGCTCGGGACATGGGGAAGTCAGGGACATTTTTGCAAAATGCATGGGGCTCACTAATCTAAGTTTGACATTGCCTCATTGTCTTGTCTGACTCAGGGCTGCCTGGATCGGAAAGCACCAGCCAAATGATTGTAGGACCAGGAAGGTATTCCGTTTGAATCACTCCCCAAGTTCCTGGACTTCTGGTCATTCTTTTTGCCGTTTTTCTGGGGTCTCCTCCAAATTCATGTCATATTTTGGGGTAGACTAGGACCAGCTGAATACGCCACATGGCTATCACTCACCTAAGTGGTTGAACGCCCGGTGGCGCACGTGGGGGTTTCCCCGCCGATTCCGCTGGTGCGCCTGGGTTTTCGGCCAGGCCGAGCCGCAAGGTGCCGCCAAGGCGTGTCGGGGGTCAGCGTCCTGTGAGCAATGCTAACGCCGGATGAATAACCCCCAAACCCTCAACCTCAAACCCCAACTAAACCATCTTAATCTGATTTTTCACATTAATCAACAAATGTATGTGTGTACATATACATATATATATATAAATAAATAAATAAATAACATGTTGCCAGCAAAAAGGGGGTGTCGGGCCTCACAAAAGTGATGAAGCCCCATTTAAAGGGCTCCGCTATGAATCAAACGGTATGAATCAAACGGGGGTTTATCAATCCGGGGTTCCCATTGCTTGGGTCGGCCGCTTTAGTAAGTGGTGAAGAACACGGTGCCCACCCACTAAGCGGCCACAAAGTGAGGTGAACTCAGTTGCAAGTGTGTCATACCCCGGATTAATTGCCACTTTATCGAACTGGTCCGAACACCCAAGTGCCACCCCTCGCCAGAGCCTCCCTGGCCGTTGGACCCGAAACGTGGCTCATGGGCTCATGGGTCCTACCATCCGATGGGACCAAGTTTGCCCTCAAGGCTTATCAACCCCCGACCCTTGGGGGGCGGGATGTTGGGCAGGTGGGTTCATCCCAATATTCACAGGGCTTTCCTCATCCTGGTGCAGGATTTTGTCCGACAGGCCCGCGGGCCCCATATTTTTGTCTGGGAAGGAGACACGATCATGACTTGGAGTGGGGGATACTTTCGAGAACGAAACCGTAGCCTTGACACGGGTGAAGGCCCGCCGCTTTTCAAGCTCTGCCTGCGTGCAGGTTCAGAAACCCACCCTGGCAGTGAGGCGGCTGGTATAGCGAGAAAGCGATTGAAAAGGAGCTGAGCAGACTGGGACGAGGTCCCTGGACTTTCTACCACGAAGGCGCAAATGCCTCCCAATGCTTCGGTTTACATAGCAGAAAACCAGGGTCAACATGTAAACACGGGAGGGTGCCTACTATGGTGATGACTGGAAGCACTACGCATAATCGGTGGGTGCAAAGGGTTCATACACACATTTACCAGGAAAATGTCGGAGGTTCCCCCCCCCTCCCAGGTTAGTGAGGTATCGAAGAGGCAACATCATAGGTGCATGAAGATGTGAGGCTTGCTCAGCATTTCCAGTTGTCGATGTAGCAATTGGCGATAAACCGGGAGACGACATCCAAACCTCAAAAGGGGGACGAACCCAACACATTGCTTCGAGACTCCAAAGATTGGCCAACAAATCACAGAGCCATGGTAGAGAGCGAACAAAACTCTACCCTTCTGCCAGTGTCATAGGAGCAACGCTGCTAGTCTTTCCAAGTTCACTGTGGCTCAGCCCATTTGTGCCATGGTAGAATGCCTGTTGCGCAAGGGGAAGTTCAAGGGTGGAGTTGGCCGACCTGCTCTTCACTCAGGGTTCCGAGCTGAAGATGATCACAACAAAGGGTACATTGGTCACACCAGGGAAAACCTCCAAACTCTTTTAGTTTTCCTCAAAATCAACCCCCAGAAAGGGTACCGCGTATCGAACCTCAACAAAAAGCCAGAACCACCATATGTTCTACCCTCGTGCCAGGGTCGTGGAGTGTGTTGGCGTGTGTTTTGGAATGTCTTCTTTTTCAGGGCCGCGCGCATGGGTCGAGAAATTGGGACCGAACGCACTTGCGAACCAACCGGAAGGTGACGTGGGCAAATCTCAGCAACACTCGGGGAAGGTGGGGGGGGGGAGTCGCAACGTCATCCAAAAGGGCAGGTTCCTTTGGAGTCCTTTGTTTCCGGGGTTGGTCACATGAAGAAACTGGTTGCAAAGGGGGTGTGCACCTGGGGTTCAGACCACTTTGGGCTGGAAACGCCCTATGAATACGGGTTCTACTGGGTTCCGGGGTCAAGATTCTGCCCTGTCACACGCTGCCAGGCTACAGGCCTAACCGTGAGGCCCAAAGACGCCTTCCACAAGTTGTCCTCAACATGAATTGCCCTTGGTAGATCATGTACTGTTGATTGCAACGTGGTCGATGTTTTCTGATTCTTGCAGGAACCTGTTTGCGATTGTTTTTGAGCCAACATGCAGTGGTGAAGACGGCGAATGAAGCCCTTTCGCTTGAGTTGGTTCGTGAGGAACCCAGAGAGAACCATTCAGAGATCGCGCGACGCAGGCCCAGGCTCGGCCTTTTTCAGCAAATCTGCACAACCATTTGTGTGCTCCCTTCCCGAAAATGCTTAGACGTTTTTGACCACGGCCGCGATGGGACTTGTGATCGACTGGCCAGCTGAGGGGCTGAAGGCCGGGCAAGCCGACAGAGTCGCAGCTCTGATCAGTTGACCCCAAACATGGTTTCCCTGAAAAAAGCGGAAAAGGCCCACCCTGAATTGGGAACACACCGCCTTAGCTCCTTTGAAGTTCCAAGAAACGAGCTCATCGATCCGGCAAAACGAGCAAGGAATCGCCCATGAAGGTCCTTTGCTGGGGTTCTCGTATTTCCCATGCTTGGAGGTTGGGGGACGCCCGGTTCGGGTTGATTGGTGGGAGGGATGTCCCTCTTAAGAGGGAATCCTGATCACTTTTCATGGGTTCGACATTGTCTTCGAGGTACCCCAATTTTTGCAGGTAACCAGGTCGCTTACCGTTAGGTTTTGCCATAGATGCTTTTCCATTAGAATTGTGGAACGCCTGGAAGCACTGGGTTTGATCCCCGTACTAAGATGGATCCCAACAGACGGTCCCCTTAAAAGGAAGCTGGTCCAAGAACCGCCAGCCAAGTTTTCATGGTAACGTGGGCAAATGCCCCAAACCACTACCGCCACCCAAGGCTTTGATGGAGTACAGCCGAAAAAGCAAGGGAAATCCGGATGTTTCTCAAAATTGGCAGCTTTCTATAATGGGATCAAATGGAAGCCGCCAGGCTCACTCCCTGAGTTCCTGAACTTGAAGCTTTTTGGGAAGACGGTTTTGGTTGCAACTGCGAAGTTCGGACTCTTTGTGGCCACTCCCGATGGGAAGTGACTCCGAAGGCCACGTGTCTTGCCAAGCACCGCGTACACGGCACAAGCGCCGGCCCTGTCGGATGGTGAGGCCTGAGATGCGCCGGCGGAAGGGCGGCGGGCCCGGCGCCTCGAAGCGGAAAGAGCATCGGATTTCCTTTTTTCGCGCCATTTTATTTGTTTATTATTGTTGTTGTTACATTTTTTTAAAGAAAACAAATATAGGAATAAATTAACTGGGGTCATGACTTTGTCAGTTTCTGCGGGCAAAGTCGGAAACTGGAATGGCCGGTTTCCTCTCAACCTAGTCATGGACAGGTGGTAAAATGGGGCCGGTGTTCCCAGTTTGAGTCTCTGGTTCAAGCCAATCGTGTCCCTTGAACTTCCTCACCTTTGTACAGCCAAATCTCCCGTCTCAGCCTCCGGGCTTCTCATGGACTGTAGGTATTTGGAGGCATTTCAGCCCTGCTTTTTGTAGAATTTCTTCATTTTGGTGGCCCAGCTTAAATGGCCCCTTAAGGCCATTGGGGATTTTTTGTGGGTGTGTCCGTAGCCGGCTAAGGTCATGGCACGAAAAGCGCACACCTTTCCGCCATTTCAGGGCTTAGAGGCGGCCAAAGTCAGCCGGCATCTTCACTCGCTCGCGCCGCGCGGGTGGGCGCGTCCGAATGGTGCGGTTGATCCTGGGGAACACGGCGGAGCCTGAGGGCAAGAGATACAAATGGACCTTCTACGTACGCGGGGAGACCCAAGAGTCTCGGAGAGCTTTGGTCTTTCTTTTTTGTGTTTTTTCCCGGAGGCTTTTTTCGGTTTTCTCTGAAAGCGTGATTAGTGTTTCCTGTAGAATGTGGACACCCCGCGATGAAATCAACCAGCGGTTGTTGAATCCTGGATTCCGATGGATTGTTGCAGCTGTATGTGGAACTGTTCCTCCAACGGAAACCAACTAACTTTACTTCAGGGTTCGTTGCGGACCAGGAAGCACCCGCTTTTGCACGACTGAGAATTCAGGACCTGGAGTCGGTGACAATCAAACTACACTCCAGCTTCAAGAACCCCGTCCTGGTGCGTGAGGAGGAGCCTTTCGAATTCACAGCAAGAGGCGAGAACTGACATATACACAACCAGAAGTACTGGACACTGGATAAAAGGGCCACTATTTCCAAGTGACGCTTATATACCTTGTTCTTTTTGTTGCTTACAGCTTGATTCCCTTGGTCACTAACGACTTGCTAATGAATACCCCTGCAATAGACTGAGCTGTGCTGCTATTCCAGGATTGCCCAGCAAAGGCTGAAGTTAGTAAACGCCAAAGGTAGAAAGATGACTGCTTGCCAAGCGGAACAGCAAGCTATTGGACCACGTTTAGTTGCTTCCATTAGCTGAACATGTTGTGTATTTAACCCTGTTGGCCAAAAATGGAATTCATTTGACCAGGAGTGGCCCGGAAAAGGCTAGCAAGAGTCTTGGACCCTACGACCCCCCAAAAACAACCCCCCTACAATGCCCCAAGACCCCCCAAACTTTAAGGCCTTGCTTGATAGTTATACATATATATATACAAACGCACCGTTATGACCTTCGTAGAACCAACAGGTCACTGCGTTTTGGGCGCTCATTTGGCAGGTTGAACCAGGTGAGCAATTTGCCACTGCCTGGATTCAAACATGGTTGTAGAGAAGCCTACGTAAATCTGTATGACTATGTAGCATAAATCAATGGGTTTTGTGCACTGCACGGGTGCTTTGGGCAAGTGTTTGTTCAAAAACAATCCTGGATCCATATGCGAGAGGCAAGTGGCTTCCCTTTCCGAAGTGCGCTTTTTGCGGATTGTGGATGTAGGCTTAGGATCAGTGGATCCTCCATGATCCTCTCATTTTGAACAACCCTGCTTGGATGACCACCCCACATAGCAACTGGCTAGTATCCCACTTGGCACCGCGTATGGCCGTTTGTTTTCCTTTTTCCGGTCGAACCCCCCTACTTGGCCATAGTTGCCCGTATGACAATTTTTGTTTCTGGTCATCCGCGTATACGACCAGTATGAAACCCGTATTGCTGAACATTTTGTTGAAAACACGTAACGCACCCCGTATGTCCATTCTTTGCCGGTCAAAGGCGATTGACCTCAAAAAGGCCAGATGGGGTGCCAGGCGGCCAATAAGTCCCAAGTGGGGTTGAGCCTATATACATAAATAACTAATACATATATATATATATATATACATATTAGCAGAACCCACCTACGGGTCTTCTTATCCAGGATATTGGCCATCCAGAAAACAACTGGTTTAAACAACCAGCCCCTGGTACCATTTAAGGGGAAGCCCAAAGGACGTTGGAAGGACAATCCTCGGAATCATGAAGGCAAGTTGTGCAGAAGTATATATTGGCAATAGCTTTTTTAAACAGTTGCTTGGCCTCCCCAGAGTATGTTGGTTGTGCCTTCTCAAACCAACAAATGCCAAGTACAGCCAAACAAGGCGCCGAATACGGCCAAGCAACGCGAGTTCCCCCAGGTCTGCACGTTCTTGGGGAACTTCGCCCGGCAGTCGGTAGGTTGGGGCACCTTCGACATCGCAGTGCTGCTGAAGTGGCGGAACGGGCACCTGCACCGCGCCATCTGGGAGCTGCAGTTCGATAGCCCCGATGCCTCCAAGGAGAGGGGGATCCTCGGTTTCGGTGTCGCGCACAAGGGAAAGACGAGGTGGACCTGTCTGGTTGAGATTTGGGGGTTGTTGTTGTTTGTTCCCCCATTCTCTCAGGCTTGCGAACTGCCCAGCTAGGGTCTTGGGTTTCCAGTGCAAGTCAGGGAGTGACATCTAAGAGCGGGTCTCCGGAATAGGGGCTTGAACAACCAGTTGCCATGGAGGGGTCTTTAACGGGAAATCAACGTGAGTTGATGCTTAAAACATACATGAAGCAAGTGGCCATGGGACCACCTCAAAAGCGGCTGGTGGACATGAATCTCCGCCCTCCGCCTAAATGTTTTCCGCCCAAGGGTCTCCCGTTGATCCCGGGTCAACTTGGGAGGGACATGCTGTGGACGAAATCTGCTTCGCACCACTTTGAAACCATCGGAATCCAGAACGCTTGTTGGTGTTGCAGGGGAATCGAATCATTCCAGGGCTTAGGTGGTGCGGCGGTGCAGGATGTTGGCCAGCAGATGAGCCCGCATTTTCCAATGTTTGCGGGAGACTTTGTTCTTGTGAGAACTCCTTTTTCGGTAATTCTCACGTTCAGAAATAAACAAGAGCAATACTGACTACTCGGGTTCCTGGGCTTTACGTTTTTTCTTTTTTTCTCGAAGGCCATTTTATTGCAAGCCACAAGTCTGGGTACTTCCTTTTGGCCAATCAAAGGAGCAACCTGAGCAAGCATCTTGCCGGTTTTTAGCAGAGAATGAGGGAATGGGGACTCTGAACCATCCAACTGGTGGTTTCCTTTGGGGGGATTCCCCAAACGGATCCCCAAACCCCCTCAAACGATTTACAGGAGATCCAGTGCTCGCCCCCGCCTCCGCCTGTTCCCCCAGCGCCCGCGCCTCCTGTCGCGGCGGCTGCGGTTCGTGCAGCAGCGGAGACGGCGCCGGTGCCGCCCTGGGAGGAACTGCTTCGATCTTGGCCCGGAATGTCGTCAGTTGAAATTTGAACAAATGGCCAAAACCCCGTACCCCCAGTGAACGACCCACAGCCAAATGACAGTAAGGGCTCTATGGGATTGCACCCCCAACGCTTAGGGGTTCATGAGCCTGGAGGCCAACTCGGGCCGCAACCCGCGTCCAACAGGGGCAAATCAACATATCGGGCAGACGGAGCCTAACTTTGATTAGCGTTTTGGTCCGTAGGTTCTAGTTCGATATTCAACTAACATACGTGGGCTATAAGCATAGTGAGACACCCCCAGTTGGTTGACCTCTAGAACATACGGGTAATTATGGATCAAAATGACACCACCAGGGGACGCTGGTTTTAGTCCTTGGTTCCATTTACCAGGGTTTCATTTTGGGTACCTATTCTTGACCCACAGCCATACCACCATGGTTTTGCTGGAATCGTTCGAGGCCGAGAGCCCCAGGAGAACGCGGACATCTTGGAGGCCCGCGGCAGCATCGCGGGCCTCGACTCCGCGGACGAGGAGGTGGTGGCAGCGCCGCCCGCGCCGGAGACCGAGGCGCCGGGCCCGCCGCCGGAGCTGCTGAGGGCGGCTTGCGCGCAGATCGGGTTTGGCTCAAGAAGGGTTCTTTCTTTTTGGGGGTTTTCCTGAACCACATGTTGGGTTAAAATCTAATTTTTGGGGTAAGTCAAAATCGGGGAGGCCCGAAAATGGTTGATGTCCTGGACCCTGGGTTGAAGTCTACCTTTGGGGTAAGTCAAGAAACGGGTTTGTCTCAAAATCAGGGGAGCCCCAAAATGGGTGGTTTCTTGGTAGCCAGCCTCAATAGGGTGCCAAGCCTCAAAAAGGACACGCCCGGATTTCGTCCCGAAAACGGGCTGGGCGTTTCTAACCCAAAACTGGGGCAACGGGGAGGGATTTCTTGGGATGATTTGGATTTTTGGGATGAACTGGCCGCTTGGACTTTTCTGACCAAAGAACGGGTTGCAACCCAACCAATCAAAGGGCCGAGGGACCCTTTTCATGGATTCCCCCTTTTGAATTGCCCCCTACAGATTCTGCATGACGGGTTTAGAAGTCCCAACCTACAAAGATGCTGGTTTTTGGCTTCACTTCTTGGAACATCAAGTGCTCTCAAAGTGACAAAGTTAGGCCATGGCATTACAGAAATTCTGCCTGTATGGTGGTGCGCTTACCCGGGCAAAACGAGCTTGTGATGAAGATTCCTTTACCGGGGTCGTTTCCCCAACGTTGAAGATGGTCCACGAGTTAGAAATTGTTGGCTTGTTCTATCACTCCCGAGACGTGGAACTCCCCAAAATGCCGCATTTGGAGGAATCTCCTTTTGCGGGTCCTGTTTCGGTTCCACTAAGTGTCAGGCCTTGCCAGACCCACTGAAGGGCCAGGGCTCTGACGGATTGGAGCGTTGGGCCACTTGTTTACACACGTCTAAACACCCATCTTTTCAATTACCTCCATTTGGTTTTCCTTAGAGGCTTCAAACACATCCCACCCCTTGGGGGATCTTTGGGGGACGGGATCTTTGTCTGAGGACACCAGCGAGGGCACCTCGGACGCGGACCCCACGCGCGCCGGGGTCTGCGAGCGCCTGCGGAACCAGCCCTACATGTCGCCCTCGGACCCCCTCTTTAAGTACGGAAGCTCAGCCATGGACTTTTGGTTCAGGTTTGCTTTGGATCTAATACAGCTTGTGATGGTGTCGTAGCTTTCTTGGCTCATTGTGTTGGTTCTGTGTTTGATCGAACACATCCAATGTTTGTTTCTTTGTTTTTTCTCCTAAAGATCGAACACATACCTGATTGTGTCTTTGCTTTTTGGCTCATGTGTTTAATTGTTTGGTTGCTTTGGTCCTGTTATGTTTAGTGGGTGACAACATGTGCTCGCTGAGCAACCGTATAGGCAAGCTAGCCTTAGAGCCTTTGGTTCTTGATGGGTGGTTCCCTTCCCCCGAAAGGACATTCCTTCACAGTTCCATGCTAATCGGCAGGGATCTGCAGGCTTTCTCATTTTCGTCGAAAGGGGCTGTTTGTTGTGCAAAGGACGGGGCTATACCGGGCCGCTGAAGCCTGCAAAGGCACGGGTTCGGAGAGGGAAGATGCGGCATTTTGGCACCACGCACACTTGGGGTTTAAATAGGTCATAGACTCCCCTTGTAGGCACCCTTGGAGTCCATGAAAGCTTTGGTCATTTTTGTTTGTTCGGCTTTCTGTGGGGACGTGCCCAGGCTCCCACTCTGTCCTTACCTGGCGCCTCTGAATGCCCCATGCTTGCACAACTGACGCTGTCAAAGCCAGCCCCTCATGACTCCAGAGGTGAAGCGGACCAAGACAACATAACCAAAGGCCTAAACAGCCCTTAGCTCCCTCCACCAGAAGGAACCTTGCTGATTGCCCCCACATGAAGGTTCAAACATGAGGCGTCAAATGTAGGGAGCTCCGTGGGCGAAGTCCCAAAAGCCGAGCTTTGAGTCTGAAACCCGCTGGCAAGGCTTGTTACCCCCCAACTTTTGGCAGGGTGCAAGGGGGATGCGAGGGGAAATGGAAGCCACAAGGAACCCACCCGGCCGGTTGGGTGCGGCGATCAATGTGCCAGGTGCTTTGGAAGAGCGACCAGCCGCCACGCAAGGAGTGCCACAAATTGGGTGTTCAGGAAGCGGAGATTTCGATTCACCTATTTTACAGCTAGTCATGGTCGTGGAAAATGGGGGGGGGGTTCGGGTGATAGGGAAGGCCCCCGTTGGAATCGCAGAAAAGGCCAACGCTGCCTGACTTGTCTGGATGAGATAGGTTTGTCCCAACTGACACGAAGGCATGGGCATGGGCAAAGCAACAAACAGAGGTTACCTGGACGTAAACCGAGTCGAAAACCCACGATGAAGGTCCTGTACCGGGTGTTTCCCGCATTTTTTGCATGGGAATCTTGGTAGTTTGCCCCGATGTTTGTGTGCACGTCCATCGCAAGTGCCAATGAGATGAATCGCGTTTCATCGTTGCGAGCTCAGCTGCAGGCAGTGCATAAGAGCGGCCGTGCATAGCTTGTATCGCTTGGTTCCCTGATTGCCATTCCTGGTGTATGTGTCGGTCTTTAGGAGGGGATCTAGCATGATTCATTCACAAGGCTGTACAAGGTACGAACACCCCAAATTATTCCAGACATCCCCTCACCATTGGGCGGGGCCTTGTTGGGCGCTATTTGGCAAGGGGTGCCCTGTGCCCCCTTAGGCCCTTAGGGCCGTTTGCTGCATTGTAAGGCACGGGTTGAAGCCATGCAATCTGGGGGTTTCCAGGAGCCCTTCGGAGCCCCTCGGAGAGGGCGCTCCTGTAACTTACAGACTTTCCCCTTCAAGGGCTAGGGCTGGCGCGCCTTCTTAAGGCCAACTGAGGCCCAACCAAGCTTTAAAAACCGCCCGCCCGCCGCCAGGCCAAATAAAATAGATTAGGTCCCTGAAAGCAAGCAAACCCGTTTGACCTTGCCCTGAAGCCCCGAAGCCCTGGCCTGAATGGTTGAGGGCTCTGTGGATGGTTTGGTAGGGCTTGTGGAGAATTGGGTTTTGGGTTTTGGGTTTGTAGGGGACTCCCTAAGTGCTAAAGTAGCCATGGCGATGAACCACTTTGGTATCACTACGGCGCAGACATGGGCACCCTCCTTTGCACCCTCCTTTGCGCTGATGGTTTGATCTGTGGTTCGGCCCTTTCGCCTTGAGCCGGCTATCCAGCTGAAAGCTGGGGCCAGGACCATTCTTGCCCCAAGTGGCTGACCGCCACCGAGTTTGAAGATGTGCCCGAGGCGGGGTTGATTGAGAGGGGTGCCGGTGGCAGCGGGGCCAATTTGGGGAGCATCCAGCCCTGAAGGGATTTGAACGACTGCAACTGAAGGTTCCTTCCGACCCACACAATGGATGGTCCCTTTCATTTCCCTTGAACAGGGGACCAACTCCAAAAAGACGCACACAAGTGGGAAACATGTTTTCGGAAGCATCCTCAACTGAGAATATCCGAAACCCACGTGTTTTTTTGTTGGGGGGTGAGGAAGCCAAGGTCCACCGGGTCCCAACGCCCCCCCCCCCCCGGCCCCGGCCTCGTCCGCCGAGGTCATGGCCGCGAAGGTGGCGGAGCTCGCGAGGCTCATGAAGATGTCCCGCAAGACGGTGGCCTACACCGGCGCAGGACGCTCGAGCGCGACCGACTGACCGACCGAGTGACCGACCGATCCGGGAAATGCGGGGTGGGACGCCACCGGGATCTGAGTAGAATCCATTCCCAAACAATGCCCACACCCCTATGAAGTCACAAGGGGTTATTCATCCAGATTTCCCATCAAAGCTACTGGGCCACGTTTCGGATGTTTGGGGAATCTCCTTCGGAGGAGTTGTTTTTCTTCTTCTTCTTCTTTTTCTTCTCCCCCATGCCAATTTGCATGGAGTACTTTTGTTTGCTTTCAAACTTTGATTTGTCCCCCCAGGACGCGACCGAACGTTTACTGTGGAATGAAGGCCACACTGGTACGGCCCAGAGGGAATCACGGATTCAAAGATGGGACTAGCAATGTTGACTTCGGAATGAGGCCCATGCTGCTCAGGGGTGGTTGCCCGTTTAGTAAGAGAGTGTTGACCGCCTTTTGGGCCTCTGATTCCTGGGGCCCATCTAAATCCCAGGCCGACGTTTTTTTCAGACCATTCCGGGTATGCTTCGAACTGAACACTTGCGACGAGTCTCCTATCTGAAGCCAAGGGACTCACATAGCGACGCCCATGAAGGAACCGGGGCTTCACCGATGTTGTTAAACAGTGGATGCTTTGTGTGGAACCTTCCCGAAACCCCACTTCCCTTGTTTGTCGAGGCCTTCTTTGGAGGAAGCCGGGGCAATGGCCGGGCAAGGTGCTTGGATCCTATTCAAAAAGTTTCACCGACTTTCCCACCTCCCCAAAAGCAAATCCTCTCGGTGCCAGCTGAAGAACCGAACCGACGCAGGCATCTCCGCGGCGGTCATCGGGCAGGCGGCGCTGTCCGGGCAACACACGGTGGGATGGAAGAAGCTCGGCTCGGAGCTCGCGGTGACCTGTTGGTGACCCATGTGCGGGTGCGCCGTTTTTTTCTTCACCCCGGGACCCTTTTTGGGGTGGTTTGAAAGGGACGCCAACACCATTTTGGTGTCCCCTGAGTTTAACACAAACCTATGTGCGCTGCAATCGACATTTGGTATGACTCTTACCACCATGACCTCTTTGGTGACCTTAGCTGATCTTTGAAGAGGCAACCGCAGGAAAACTGCCTACCTGGAGGTTCCCCTAATTTTGGAAAAACAATATGTGGGACGGAGGTTCCCCTCTTCTTTTGTTTGAAACCGCACTGTAGGGGGGCCTTCATTTGTTGGGACTTTTTAGGGCCCCACCTGTTGAGTCGTTTCCAAAGGAAGCTCAAACGAAACTTCACACTTGAGCAGCTCTGGGACCCCCCCCCGAAAGCGTACCGGGCTTTCCTTTGGGTTTCCCTTTAAACCGAACAGCGTAGCCTGGACGAACACGCACCCCATGCGGGCTCAAGGCCCCAACTGGTGGAGAAGTCGGGTGAGTCGAAATGGCGATAGACAAGGGAGCCCGTTTTTGGGTTGCTTTTCGCGGGAAGCCAACAGGAAGCTGGCGGTTTGGGTGGTTTGCCCCCAAACAGACACTCAAAATGATGCGCTTCGACGGAAACTGGTTTTCCAACCAGCGACCTCCGAACACCTCGAAAACTGCCCCAGCGACCGAGGAACAACACGCGGGCGGCTCCGCCCACCTTCACCCACCACGCCTTGGGCTTCCTGGGCTTCCGGGCTCAAGGGGATGGGTTTGACGCCCTTGTGGCTGAGCCGTTGTGGCTGGTCTGAAGTAACGAGCCCTTGTGGCTGAGCCGTTGCGGCTGGTCTGACACAACGAGCCCTTGTGGCTGAGCCGTTGTGGCTGGTCTGAAGTAACGAGCCCTTGTGGCTGAGCCGTTGTGGCTGGTCTGAAGTAACGAGCCCTTGTGGCTGAGCCGTTGTGGCTGGTCTGAAGTAACGAGCCCTTGTGGCTGAGCCGTTGTGGCTGGTCTGAAGTAACGAGCCCTTGTGGCTGAGCCGTTGTGGCTGGTCTGAAGTAACGAGCCCTTGTGGCTGAGCCGTTGTGGCTGGTCTGAAGTAACGAGCCCTTGTGGCTGAGCCGTTGTGGCTGGTCTGAAGTAACGAGCCCTTGTGGCTGAGCCGTGGTGGCTGGTCTGAAGTAACGAGCCCTTGTGGCTGAGCCG